CACAAAAGAGAGAATGTGAGAGTCTTATCACACATAAAAAAAAATTACCAAAGTCTTGTAGTGGGACTCAAGAGATAATTGATAATCAATATAAGGCAGTCAGTACACCAAGTAGTGTTTAAGAACTCTATGTAATTGTGATTTGAGAGTGTTGCCTGGTTTCACCCATGTAAAACATTTTCTAAGGCTTATAATTAGTAATTTTTTAATTTAATTTTTTTTGTTTTGTTTCAGAGTAGAAGTTTTTGGCTTTGTGAAGTAAGGTTTTGGTATGTCTTTTTTGCTTCATTTTACTGATGTCATTGTCAAAGTCTTAAGGAAAGTGTGGTGTGTGTCTATGTGTCTGTGTCTGTGTGTGGTGTGTATGATATATGTATATGTTATGTGTTTGTGTCTTTTTGTGCACAGCATATATATGGAATATGTATACTGTACACTGTGTGTGTATGATATATATGGTATAGGTCTATTGTGCGTGGTTGTGTGCACATATGTGTATGCAGACACAGAGGCCAGAGGAGGATGTCAGGTACCCCACTCTGTCCCTGGAGACCACCAAGCACCAGCACTTGTCCTCTTTTCCCCCTGTTTCCCTCTCCCAGCATTGAGGCCACAGGTGTTCAAGGCCACATCCAGATTTTTATGTAGGTGCTGGAGATTTGAAGTCAGGTGCTCCTGGTCACACAGCAGGTGCTCACCTGCTTAGCTACTTCTCCAAGCATGGTAGAAGTGTTTCTACAACACCTCCACGACTGAGGTGACATATGAGAGATAGGTCCCTGAGTTACTTCATTCTATTCAAGAATAGAACCTAGCAGATGTGCCCCAGACTTATAATCCGCAGTGATTTCACAGTAAAAAGGGAGGAAAAAAAGTCTACTATCTGTAGACTGTTTTTCCAGTCTCATCCTTGAAATCAGGGAAGAAATCTAATAGATAATGGTAAGTTGAAGACCTAGCTTTCCATGAAATGTTTTAGAATTTCAGAAAATCACAGCTAGATAATTCTTTCATGATGAAATTGAATAGTGGCCAAAACACATGTTGAGATATTAATAAAAACAGAAAATAGTAAAAGTGTTTATAAATGTAAAGAAAAGCATCACCAAGAAAAATAAGATGGGGCTGAAGACATGGCTCAATGGTTAAGCCTTACAGGCTGCTCTTCTAGAGGATCTAAATTCTGTTCCCAGCATTCACATCAGGTGTCTCACAGTTACATGTAACTCCAGCTCCAGAGATATCCAGTGCCTCTTGTAGTTTCTGTAGGTATCTACATATATACGGCATAAACACACACACTTAATAATAAAAATAAATACGTAAGGGGCAGGTATGGTGATGCATGACTTTAATCCCAAAGCCTCAGAGGCAGAAATCTACAGAGTTCCAGGACAGCTAAGGCTATGTAGAGAGACCCTGTCTCAAAAAAGTAAGTAAATAAGATCAAAATAGTTACCTTTAAAATATACATATATGAGAAAACACTGAAAAAAAATAAAAGTCTAAGAAAGGATAGACTGGGGAAAAGTATCAGTGTGGCGGTTATCATGCCTTCCTCTTCCTCTGAGCACTGAATGTGGGGAGTCTTTTCTCAGGGCAGTGTGAATTGCACAGACATGACGTGTTCTGGAAAGGCTGCCTACCAGGAGGCATGACTAAATCAAGGACAGGATAACAGTGGACTCCCAATGTACACGGACCATTTTGTCACCCATGATGTCGATTACCTTATTTACTAAATAGCATTTGATGCACCCAGTTGAAAACATCTCTCTTCCAGATGCAACGTGAACTCAGATGACTTTATTAAGCTAAAACTGCCATGTATCTGTCAAAGATATACATTTCCCAAGTTGAACTACATCAGAAAGTAAACTTCAGAATCTTGAAATTTTGAAGTTTATTTTAATCTTAGAAGTCATTGAAAGTTTTTATGCAGTGGTGGGAATTATTACAGCCCTTAAATCAAGAGGAGCGTTGAGCAGGACCACAGAGAACACTCTCACAGCTCCACAGGAGACCACTGCTCTTACAGTGTACTTTAAAGTCCGTCACCTTCCACAGAGGACATAATGTCAGGATGTGGGTTTTACTTCAATTCACAAAACAGGGATCAGGCACAGTTGTCACACACTTTATTTGAAAGTTGTTTGCCAAAAAAAAAGAAGATAGAGGTTGCTCTATCATTTGTGTTTTTAACTCTTCTTACTCTACATATTGCAATAATGTATGCAAGTATAAACAATCCAAGTTCTTTTTTTAATATAAAATAAATGAATTTATTTTTTTTACTTCATACTGCTAAATATTTCAAGATTATTATTTTTTTTTTTTTTACAATCCAAGTTCTTTAGCAAAATTTTGCCAATAACTCAGAAATCTTAAAATGTGTGCCTCCACTATCAGTGTGTTCCCGCCATTTCTCAGGGCTCAAACCTCATCATACACCTGTAATGCCTATGTAGATTTCAATTATAAAACCATGGAATTGAAGGCTGGTTAGTTGGCTCACTTGGTAAAGGTACTTACCACTTACCAAGCCTGGCAAACTGTGTTCAATACCCAGGCTTCATATGGTAGAAAGAGAGAGCTCAACACTCTACTTCCAGGCCCCAAAACATACATAAAACAAATAACTGTAAAATAAATACCTCACACTGGGCATATTTTAAACCCACCACACTTTTGTATGCAGATTACCTTGTCTTACTGTGATATTTCATACTTGGGTATTACATAGTTGATTTTATCCATACCCCCATTACTCTCTATTCTTTTCCTTACCCACCCATTCATCCCCCTCTTCTCTGAACTGATTTTATCTAGGGGCTGGAGAGATAGCTCACTGGTTACAAGCACTTGTTGTTCCCACAAAAGACCCGGGTTCAATTCTCAGCACCCACGCAGTTCAGACCCACCCATCATTACCACTCCAGGGTAAACATAATCCTGTCCTGACAAGAACTTTGTCGCCTGCTTTCTGATCACTCCCCCCTGGCAGGACTGCCTTGCCAGGCCACAAGGAAAAAGGATGTGCTCAATCCTGATGCAAGTTAATGAGCTGGGAGTGGGGCTCCCCTTATCTGAGGAATAGAATGGAGGGGGAAGAAGGAGAGAGGGTGGAACCAGGAAAATTAGAGGGAAGAGGCTATGATGGAGATGTAAAGTGAATTAATTAATTAATTAATTTTTAAAACAATGAAAAAAACAACATATTGCACAGACCCTCAAAAATAAAGCAAAACACTCATATACATAAAACAAATAAATCTAAAAATGTTTTTAATTATTTCATCTAAGGGCTGGAGAGATAGTTCTGCAGTTAAATTCCATTGCTTTTCCAGTGGACTCACACATGGTTTTTCACGATCATCTTTAAGTCTAGTTCCAGGGAATCCTATGCCCTCTTCTGGCCTCCAAAGACACTGCATACCCATGGTGCACTCAGGTATGAGAAAGAAACACACCCACACACTTAAAATAAAAGGAAACAAAACTTTTTAAATTCTTCACCTAGTTGTATCTCTTTTTTCTACAGTCTACCTAAGAGAGAAAATATCACCCTTGTCTTGCTGATTCTGGCCTAACTTCCTTAATATGATAATTCTAAATTCCATCCACACTCTTTGTTTGCTTGTTTAGTTGATTGGTGGTTTTGGTTTTACTTTCATTTTGAGACAGGGTTTCTCTGGGTAGCCCTGGATAGCCTGGACTCATTTTGTAGACCAGGCTGGCCTGGAATTCCTATCCTAGAGACCTACCTGCCTCTGCCTCCCAAGTGCTGGGGTTAAAGGTGTTGTGCTTTAATACACTGTGCCCAACTTTTTTTTCCATCCACAGTCTTGCCAATGACATAGTATTGATCTTTTTTACTAAATAGTGGGATACCATTGTGCTGCCATACAACCTATTTAAAATGAGTTTTTCATTTCTACACCCATTCCATGATTTGGAAAGTGTGGATACTGCAGGAGAAACATAGATATGCATATATCTCTGTGGCAGACTGACTTTAATTTTTTATGTTTAATTTTTGGAGTTCTTTATGTAGCCCAGATACTAAATCCTTGTCGGAAGCACAGCTGGTGAATATTTTCCAGCATTCTGTAGGCAGAATGTTCATTCTGTTAACTCAGGCACTTGCCCGTTGAACCATCTTGATGGCCTGTGGCACAGTTTTTAATATATCATTATAATTAATTGCTGTCATCCTGTGATATAAAAGAATACTGAAACAGGGTAGTTAGACATTCTAAAACCACACAGCCTTGAAATTGCACGATACAGACAAAAAAACACTTGATAAACACAAATGTTATGCTTTTATTTATTTTATTTAGTTTCCTGCTCCAACATAAATATTTTTTTGAAGTCTGCCATTATTTAAATGTAAACCAAGCACTGGTATTGCAAATCTTTAATCCCAGCACTCCGGAGGCAGAAGCAAGTGAATTTCTGAGTTGCTCTTGAGTGCTGGAAATAACAGCATCAGCCACCACACAAGGCCTAAAATTTGTTAGGTAAGCACATTTGTCTGTCAAACAATAACATTTTGTTTTGTTTTTTTCAAGAGAGGGTTTCCCAGTGTAACCCTAGCTGCCCTGGAACTTGCTTTGTAGACCAGTTTGCCCTCGAACTCAGAGGTCTGCCTGTCTCTGACTCCTGGGTGCTAAGATTAAAGATGTGTGTCACTATTGCCCAGCTTCAAACAACAAGAACTTTTTTTTCAATAAGAACTTTTAAAACGTGAAAATACAATAAAAATTTAAAAGGCACTAAATTACTGTTCCTCCAAGTATCATAAATTTAGATTCCTAGTGTTTTCCCTCATGTGTTGGTTTAAGAGTGTCTCTCCTTGACAGGCCTTCAAGGTTCTCCACAGCAAGCAAGATGAACTTCTGGGTTCCTGTGACAGACTATGGATGGGGGAGGAAAACGTGTGAGAGGTGCTGGATGTTCATCCAGGAATCAGCAATCAAACTGGACACTCCCAGAACCTAAAAGCAAGAGCTCAGAGTTCTGGGGTTCTGGAAAATTAGCACCAATGGACTCAGGGAGGGGAAACACATGGCAAAAAACTTCAGGGAGTGTTGCAGCCACCAGGAGGAACTAAAAGATTTTATGTCATAGAATATGTATATTGAGTTGAGAAAGTAAAAGGGGATGAAGCCAGCCACCAAGAGCAGGATGCTATGAGTGGCCCGCATCTCAGGGGAGGTCCTGTGGGTGAGGCTGAGGCTGCAACTTCGAACATGTTGAACCCTATGATGATGTCTGTAAAGGAGACATACCATGTGCATGCTGGCTACCACCATAAGTGTCATCAGCAGGGCACCCAGAATGAATAATGGGATTGCACACAAGCCAGACATATTGGCCACATACTGGCAAGCCATGCCATTCCCCATTGAGGAATCACTACTGTTATCCCAAAAGAGTTTTATCTCAATGGGAGAGATGGTGCTGCTGGCCAGAATAAGAGTCCAGCAGAGGAGGCAGGAGCAGCCAATATGCCTAGACACCCAGCGTCTGAGCCCTGTCCACAACTTGTGCTTGGGACTGACTGTGACAGCTTGAAAACAGCTCAGCAAGCTGGTGGTGCAAAGTGAAAGGTCTCGAGACATCCTATGGAAATAAAAGAAGACTTGGCACCCAGAACCTTCCAGGGCATGCACCAGGCCCAAGTCTTCCATCACTTCCTGTGCTCCCTTGGAGAGAATAACAAAGGAATTGGCCACAGCCAAGTTGGAGAGAATGAGGTTTGTAGGCTTCATTCTGTTTCCTGTGAGAAGGATAAAGCTATGCATGAAGAACAAGTAAGTGTTTGTCAGAAGGCCTGTGCCCATCTGCAACAGAAACACAACCTTCAGGACCATCTTATCAACAGTCATTTGTACCATGTTTATGGAGGCTTGTGGTCAAGGAGACCCAGGTTGTGTCCTAGAAGAGAAAAACATTAATATCGCGGTGCTGAGGTTAAAGCTGCCCAGTGAATCCGGGAGTTTTATTAACTTATTTTTATGTGTACAGGAGAATGTGGTGGAATCACATTTGTGTGTGTACACATATATTCAGGGTGCCCAACAAGCTGGGGAGGCCAGACGGCAGCATTAGGTGCCTTCCTCTATGTTTTCCACCTTTTTTTTTTTTTTTTTTTTTTTAAGACAAGGCCTCTCCTTGAACCTGGAGCTCACTGACTGACAGAACTAGCTGGCCAGCAACCTCCAAGTACCCTTCTGTCTTTGCCTCCCCAGTAATTAGGTGCTTGCTGTCTCATCTGACTTTTTGTGGGGGTATTGGAGACTCTAATTTGAGTCCTCATGCTTGCAGTGCAAACTCTTTGTCAACTTAGCCATCCTCCCGGCTCACAAGTCTTCCTTTCTTAAAAGATTAAACCGAAGGGCTGAAGATGTTGGGAGAGTACTTGCCTGGTTTCTGCAAAAGTCCTGGACTCTATCACCAGCACCACATAAACTGCCAAGGCGGTACATGACAACAAGCCCAGCATTCAAGAGATGGACACAGAAGGACCGAGAGTCAAAGTCATCCGTGAGGACATGGCAAATTCTAGGCCAGTCTGGGCTGCCTGAAATCTGTCTCAATTAATAAATAAAAATAAAATGAGTAGGTGGAGAGATGGCTCAATAATTAAGAGCACTGGGTGTTCTTCCAGAGGACACACAGATCCACCTCTAACACCCCTGATGGAGGCTCACAGCTGCCTGTAACTCTGGCTCCAGGAGATCCTATGCTTCTGGCCTCCAGGCACCTGAACTTTTGTGCACGTATCCCCACACATACATATAACTATTTTTTTAAATTAACCCAAAAGTTTCTGAGTTTTCAGGCACTTAAACTCCAACTTTGTAAGACTGAGGGTAGGGTTCAGTGGTAGAGAGCTTACCTGACTTTCAGGACCTCTTATCCCCACGACCACAAACAAAATTCTAATTTTGTTTGATGTTTTTATTGCCATCATAATTATTACATGAGTATTAAAATACATAATCCTTGCTTTCAACCTGGTACAATAAAAGTTGCATCTGCCTAGGCCTGACAGTACCCACCTGTAATCCTAACATTCAGGAAGCAACAGCAAGAGGATTATCACTGGGCCGGGGGCAGCTTGGACTAAACAATGAGTTCCAACTTAGTCTAGGCTATATGAGAATTTGCTTTCCTTAAAAAAAAAAAAAAAAAATTAAGATTTGAATCAGACAATAACTGAATTTTATTACCATACTATACAAATTGACTATTTTTAATAACAATGTTATTTTAACATTTTTTCAATAGCATAAAACAAAAGTCCCATGTATTTTTCATTATTTTGTGATGCTGAGATAAAACAAAGTCTCAAGCATGACTGGCATTGTACTACAGAGCTAACTCCAGATTCCCCACAGTTTTACCTCCAAATGCATATGATGGCTGTGCAGAGACACAGCCTATGTTCTGTTTGAAGACTTTCACGAGCAGATAATGATGACTTTGATGAAAACAAGGAAGTTCCCAGTGTTATGAGAGCCTAAAAAGGAGGTTAAGCTGGGTGTGATGGCTCATTGCTTTGATCCCAGCACTCAGGGAGGAAGAAGCATGAGGGATAGCTGTGAGTTCAAGGCCAGCCTGGTCTACAAAGTGAGTCCAGACAGCCAAGGCTATACAGAGAAACCCTGTCTCAAAAAACAAAAACAAACAAAAACTAAAAGGGGGAGTTATTTCTCTCAGAATATTGCAAGACCTCCCAGAACTACAGGCCTTCCTACAGGACCACATTCACAACAGATCAGGGTGTGTGACCCATTTCTACAAACTGTGAACCCCAGATCTTGTTCCATTCTCAGAATGGAAGAAGCATCCTATACACACTGAGAACACAGAGCAGAAGCTCCCATGGTACCTTGTGAAAGAAAATGCTGAGCTCCTCCCTTCCAACTCCCACTCAAGTTTCTTCAGTTCCATGGGGTAGCAATGGGACCTTCACACATGCAAATAGAAACAGAGTTCTGAAAAATGTGTAAATACCCAAAGTAAAGACCAAGGAGGACACTCAGCACAGACACTGCTTTCTGACACGATGTTGGTTCAAAAAGTCAACAAGAGCCTGTTGCAATACTTACTTCCAAGCCTAACAACCTAACTTTGCCCCCCCAAAACCCACATGGTGGAAAGAACCGACTTCCACAAGTTGTCCTCTGACCTCCATGTGCACAGCATGTCGGATCCACATACACACATCCATACACAAACATATACACTAAATAAGTAAAAAACTATTTTTTCAAATTTTTTGAGGCAGTGTCTCACTATGAAACCTTGGCTGGTCTGGAACTTGCTAATATAGAAGCTAGCTTCTAACACACAGAGATCCAGATGTCTGCCTCTGCCCCTTGAGGGCTGGAATTAGAGTTATGTGCCACTGCAGTTGACGAGTAAACAGTAATTTTATTTTGGGGAGGAGGGTTGAGAGGGAGGAAGGAAAGGGAGGCAAGAGAAAGAGAGGGGTGAAGGGAGAGGGAGAAAGAGAATGACTCTGTTATAAGTTAGGAGCTATACAGTATGTTTCCTGAATACTGAAAAACAGAAACATCCCTGTTGAAAGCAAGCTGGGGCAGAAGGCTGCTCTTTCCTCACTAAGATGACAGACAGGAGACTCGGGAAAGGATTTGCTTTCAGAATGACAGCCCTTCACTTACACTCTGTCGGGATCAGGCACATACATGCAGATTATTCCAAGACAACCCACTCCTCAAGTTTCAACCCTACCATCTTCTTCCCATCCTCACATATCTCTCAGCCTACTCCCCTCTCAGCAACCTACTGGTACCAGCTGCAGGGGGAGCTGGCTACAGTCTTAGGCTAAGGGAACAAAGCCTGGTTCTGAGGAGTATTCAGAAGCTTGAGCTTATGAATCTTCACCTGAGCCCTTGTCTGTGGACTTGAACCCCAGGAACCCTCAGAGGCTCACTTCCGCAGCTGTGGCCACAGGCAGCAGAGCCAAATCAGAGTGTATGGCAGCTATTGATATGGGAACTGGGCTCCAGAGTAAAACCCCCAGGGGGCTGCCATGTGTCACCTACAAAGATATTGCCTGTAAGGGGAGGCTAGGGCATTTCCAGAAGAGAAAGCACTCAGGTTCCAGGTGCAAGGACCCAGTAATAGCTGTAGTTGGGAGTGATTAATTAAGAGACCTCATGAACAGCTAGAAAAAAAATACTTCTGGTCTCCCCGGAGCTACATGCCAGAGTGAGGGTGGGAATGCGCTAGGTGGGTTAGGAGTGCTCCGTAATAAGGTCCCCAAAGTGGGCTTACCGTCTTCTACCAGGGAGCTGTCAATATGTTCACAGTCACCCATAGGTTGTCTCAGAGGGAAAGTATCATAAGCTGCCAGAAGAAACAGGTGGTGTCTTAAGGCTGCAACCTGCTTTTCCACCCACACACCTTCCTGCAGGGTCTCTCCCCAGAACACCACTGGGACAGAGCCTAGACTACCTCCACCTACTCTCACTCTCCCCTGAGGCTCCTTCTCAGTTGTACATTTGCATTTAAGATTGATACATTTCAAAGCCCAGGCAGAGACAGCCCCTGCTCCCCTTATTAGGGACCCACACGGAGACTGAGCTGTCCATGGGCTACATCTGAGCAGGGGGGTCTAGGTCCTCTCTATGCATGGTCCTTGGTTGATTCATCACAGTCTCTGCAGGCCCACTGGACCAAATTTTTTTGACTCTATTGGTCTCCTTGTGGAGTTCCTATCCCCTCAAGGATAGGAACTTCCACTTCTTCCATAACACTCCCTGTGCTCCAGCCAAAGTCTGGCTGTGAAGCTCAGCATCTGCTTTGATACCCTGCTGGGTAGAGTCTTTCAGAGGCCCCCTGTGGTAGGCTCCTGTCCTGTTCTGTGTCTTCTCTAGGTTGTCTGCTCTTTGATCACCTCTCCCTGGCTGGGTGGCCACAGAGAAACAAGATACAGACAGTCCTGATGAGACCTGATAGGCTAGTGTCAGATAGTAGGGGAAGAGGACCTTCCCTATCAGTGGACTTGGGGAGGGGCATAGGGGGAGAAGAGGAGAGGGTGGAACTGGGAGGAGATGAGGTAGGGGGCTACAGCCAGGATAAATTGTAATTAATAATAATAATGATAATGATGAAAGATTGATACATTTCTCCCAATTTAAGCATCTAATCTGAAAGTGTCTACTCAGAGGAGCTGGGGACCCTGTGAGGTAGTAATCTCCACTCTGGAAATCTCTGCACCCCCCCCCAAAAAAAAACCAAACTATATAAGCCTGCCTCCCACTCAGTTCTCTGCTACTTCTACACCAAACACAGGCAGCTGTCCTCTTGTGTCTTCCCCAATAAATCTCTTTCCCAATAAATCTTTATGCGGTTTGCTGTGTGATGTGATTTTTTTTTTTTTAATTCCTTGGCTCCTGACTTCCAGGATACCTTTTCTTATAACTGTAACACTTGTAATGGGAAAATCTTCTCCCTCCCCCTACCCCAGCAGAGCTGTAAGACTTATGGTGGGGAAACCTTCCCCCTCAGAGCTGCAACACTTATATGTGGAAGACCTCAACACAGTTATATCACCACCGAAAATTTATTTTTATTTTATGATGGCATCATGGAGTGCTTTCATGTTGTGATGATTAACATTGCACTTAAAGTTTAGACTTGAGAGACCAAAATGCAAACATTGCCTCTAATATGTAAGCCCCTAACTTGTATTGGCTATGCCCTAGCAGGCCACTTCCCTTTTTCCCCCAAGACATTGAAGACTATTTTTGTAGTGTCCCACACTCCAGTTCCTGGACCTGTGCCATTTCCCCGGAACCGCCTTGGAAAGGAGACCAGCACGGATCAGGGAGCAACAGGTGAGAGGCTCTTCCCCCTCATC